GCTCAGATGCAAATTGTAGCATGTTTGAAAAAGTGGACAAGAGATATTGAAATTTTTAAACATATGATTAGTATGTTTTCATTTATTATTATTATCAGGGCTCAACAAACTATTGAATCTACTCGCCTGTGGCAAGTAGATTTCAACCTGGAGTCCCGTTTACCGGTGGCGTGTGCATGCGCAGTGCGGGGCTGGCAAGTGGCTTTCGCTGCCGTTTTTCAAGCCCTGATTATTAATTATTATTATTATTATTCAAGAATGATAATGCCTGTTTAGCCTGACTCAGGGGCTGTGTCTACATTGGCACCCTTTTCCGGAAAAGGGATGCTAATGAGACAAGTCGGAATTGCAAATGCCACGGGGGATTTAAATATCCCCCGCGGCGGAAGATCCCTTATTCCTCTTAAAATCAGGAATAAGGGATCTTCCAGAAAAGGCTTTATTTTCCGAAAGATCCTGTCTAGACTGGCGCTTTTCTCCGGCAATGCCCCAAACCAGAAAAAAGCGTCAGCCATGTTCATGCAATTCCAACTTGTCTCATTAGCATCCCTTTTCCGGAAAAGGGTGCCAATGTAGACACAGCTAGGATGTATCTATACTGCACCCTTAACTGGAAATAATCTATGCAATTTGTACTACACAACTTACATAGCTTATTTCGAGGTTATTTCAGCTGGTTAAAATTGGGCAGAAGAAGCAGCCGTGTCAGCAACAGTGGCTAAGAATGTGAGGAAGGGGATTCGTAAGACCGGAGAACAACTAACGAACTATATTGCGTAGGTGTGGCAGGAGAACAAAGCAGTTTATGTCCAGCTATTGGGACTAAAAATTACTGGACCAACTTTGCAGTGCACAATACCATGGAAATGGAGGATACATGCATAGGGTGAAACTTGTGTATAAAGTAACCAATACTTGTATTTTTGTGTCTGTGGCCTGCCCCATACCAACCCTTCCCCATGACTCTGCTCAGTTCGATGAAGGCGAAGTGTGTGCCAAGAAAAAAACAAGATGCATCTGGAGTCAAACTGAGCCCTACGGGACCCAAGCTGGCAAGGTCTCAGAGGTCGCCTCGGCCCCAGGAATTCCACTCATGGCCTAACACTTCTTGCTTCTCTGCCATGAGCTTTGACTCGCCTCCCCTTGATCTCCTCCTTTGCCCTGTCTCTATGCAGGTCAGTGCGGGTACATCTGGGAGATTATGACCTGCAGACGTACGAAGGCACAGAACAGTTTCGAAGAGTTAAAAATATCATCGTGCACCCGGAGTATAATCGCCGCCCCCGGGACAATGACTTCATGCTCCTGGAGTTGGATGAACCGGCTGAACTCAATAGCAACGTGAAAACAATCGGCCTGGCGACCCAGTGTCCTGCGCCTGGAACAAAGTGCACTGTGTCAGGATGGGGCACCGTCACGACCCCCGAACGTAAGGGGCACTGGGGCATGGAAGGGAGGGATTGAGGTTGGGCTCAGCGTCGGGAAGGGGGTTGATGATCGTTAGGGAGACCTTGCTAACGGGTTGTCAACAGTCTTTGGCTTCTCACACGGGACATTTTTCAACTTGAAATAATTGTTGCTGCAAAATGCAGCTTCGACAAAACCAACATCTGGGGAGATCTCACAAGAATATAAGAACATAAGAATGGCCAGACAGGGTCAGACCAAAGGTCCATCTAGCCCAGTGTCCTGACTGCCGACAGTGGCCAATGCCATACGCCCCAGAGGGAGGGGTCACCACACATAATCCTCACATGATCCCTCCCCTGTCACCCACCTCCAGAGAAACAGAGGCCAGGGACACCATTCCTACCCATGCTGGCTAATAGCCAGGGCTCGACAAATTGCTGAATCTACACGTCCATGGCAAGTAGATTTCGGGTGGTTGCGCTGCGAGCCCCATTCACCAGCGCTTTGCATGTGCACAGTGCTGGTCTTACGCCTGCACAGCACGGGGCCGGCAAGTGGCTCTGGCCGGAGTTTGGCTAGACCTGCTAACAGCCATTGATGCACCTCCAGACAAACAGAGGCTAGGGACACCATTCCTACCCATCCTGGCTAATAGCCAATGATGGACCTAACCTCCATGAATCTATCTAGCTCTTTTTTGAACCCTGTGAAAGTTCTAGCCTTCACCGCATCCTATGGCAAGAAGTTCCACAGGTTGAGTGTGCACTGAATCCAGAAAAACTTCCTTTTGTTTGTTTTAAACTTGAGGCCTATTAATTTTATTTCGTGACCCCTAGTTCTTATATTGTGGGAATAAGTAAATAATGTATCCTTATTCCAATTGTTTCCATACCAGTCATGATTTTAGAGACCTCTAGCAAATCACCCTCTTAGTCTCCTCTTTTCTAAGCTAAAAAGTCCCAGTCTTTTACTCTCTCTTCATATGGGACCCGTTCCAAACCCCTCATCATTTCTGTTGCCCTTTTCTGAACCTTTTCCAATGCCAATATATCTTTTTGGAGATGAGGCGACCACATCTGTACGCAATATTCAAGATGTGGGCGTACTATGGTTTTATACAGAGGCAATAAGATATTTTCTGTCTTACTCTCTATCCCCTTTTTCATTATTACTATCATTCTGTTTCCTTTTTTGACCGTCGCTGCACACTGAGTGGATGTTTTCAGAGAACTATCCACAAGGATTCCAAGATCTCTCTCTTGAGTAGTTGTAGCTAAATGAGTCCCCATCATATTGTACGTGTAGTTGGGATTATTTTTTCTAATATGCATAACTTAACATTGATCAACATTTAATTTCATTTGCTGTTTTGTTGCCCAATCACATAGGGTATGTCTACACTAGCCCCCTAGTATGAACTATGGAGGTTAATGTAGGTATTCGAAGTTGCAAATGAAGCCTGGGATTTAAATATCTCGGGCTTTATTTGCATCTTCCCATCGGGTCACCATTTTTAATTTTCATTAGTCCGGACTAACTGCCATGGCAACTCGCGTCAGGGACCCGGTAGTTCGAATTAAAGCCCTAATTTGAACTACTTGTTATTCCTCCTGCAAGTCATCAGGTAGGGAAGCTGATTTAAATGACAAGTTATAAACCACAGTCAACAGTTCAGCAATTTCCTATTTGAGTTCTATTAGAATTCTTGGGTGACTGCCATCTGGTCCCAGGGAGTTTTAATGTTTATTTTATCCAGAATAGCCTCTCCCCTTGTGGGTTCCAGAACCAGTTGCTCCAAGAAGCAGTCATTTAAGGTATCAAGAAATTTTACCTCTGCATCCCATCCTGAGGTGACGTGGATCCACTCAATATAGGGATAGATTAAATCCCCCACTATTACATTGTTTTTTCTTTTGATAGCCTCTGTAATCTCCCTCAGCATTTCATCACTATCCCTTTCTTTATATTTTAGTATTGGAGCATGGAATTACTACCCATAGAGATTCTATGGAACATCGAAGGTCCTTTAAGATTCTTACTTCATTTGATTCTATATTTTCTTACACATATAGTGCCACTCCCCCATCAGCACAACCTGTTCTATCTTTCCGATATATCTTGTATGACTGTATATCTCATTTGTTTCCAAAACACACACACACACACACAGACACACACACACACACACACACACACACACACACACACACACACACAAACTTTTCCTTTTGAAAACACGGAGACGCAATGGTATCTTTTTCTATTTGATACATTTTCTCAGGAAATTTCATTTCCTTTTGATTTCAGAGCAATTTTAAAACACTATGAAGTCTCATGTTACCTGTAACTTAAAAGCCCACTACTTGGACTTTACCCACTGAAACTCATGACACTGTGCATTTTTGGAAGTCTCTAATGTGCCACAGGACTACTCGTTGGTTTTAAAATGTCACAGACGTGCTTCCGGTCACAAGGAAAACTAAAATATCGCAACATTTGGTATCCAACAATAACGACTCATTTGACCTGAAATGAGGGTTTTTCTGGCTTTTCTGTTAGTAAAATATCTCCTGTTTTAGAAAAGGAATATGGGCAGATCCCAGCTGGGTCAATGGGCTGTAGCTCCATTGGAGTCAATCTGACAGATCCCAGCTGCGCTGTAGCTCCATTGCAGTCAATGGGCCAGATCCCAGCTGGGTCAATGGGCCGTAGGTTTAGTGGGGTCAGTGGGACCAGATCCTGAGCTGGGGTCAAGCAGACACCGTTCTATTGGGGTCAGTGGATCTATGCCAGTTGAGGGCCTTACACAAAGGTTAAGTCTCTTGCACCCTCCTCACAAGCGTGTTTTCCTGTCATTGCCCAGTGAAGCTCACCCCCATCTTACAGTGCGCAGATATCTACAGTATCAGCGAGGACAGGTGCAAGGAGACGCCGGCGTGGAACAGGGCGGGAGAAGCTCATGCCAGGTGAGGGGCAACCTTGGAGATCGGGGCAGGTGCCGGGTGTCGGCGCTCACAGGGCTCGGTACTGTCCTATCCCCGGCGACCTCCAAATCCTTCCAGGCTGCTGCTGAGGGGCAGTCGCCAGCCCTCCCACTTGCCCCCTGGAAGAGCAGCCAGTCTGCCCTCCAGCTACACCAAGGCCTAAATGCTCCAGTCACTTCTTTGGCCTGCCCTGACCCCCAGCACTGGTGGAGAAAACTGAGTTCACCTGACCCCATTTCTGCTCTTTACACCCTTCCTCTCTGTTTGTCCCTGCTGCCCCTTGTGGTGTCTGTCTGTCTGTCACCCTCTGCTGAAGGGGATGGGCCTGTTGTGTGTCTGTGTGTGTGTATGTGTCTGAGTGTCTGTGTCATCCCCTGCCGGAGGGGATGGGAGCTCTGTGTGTGTGTGTGTGTGTGTGTGTGTGTGTGTGTGTCTACTGCCCCCTGCTGGAGGGGCCGGGACCTCCCTGCTGTGCTGTGTGTATGTGTGTGTGTGTGTGTGTGTGTGTGTGTCTACTTCCCCCTGCTGGAGGGGCCGGGACCTCCCTGCTGTGCACATACACTTGGGTGTCCCTGTGTTTGCTGATACCTCCGTGTTTCTTTGCAGGGTGATTCCGGAGGCCCACTGGTCTGCGAGGGGATGCTGCAGGGCGTGGTCTCCTGGGGAACAGCCGTCTGTGCCCAGCGGGGATATCCTGGGGTCTACGCCAATGTCTGCAAAGCCGTCCAGTGGGTGAGGGACACCATAAGGGACAGGCCCACCTAATGGGACTGAGGACTCACAGCACAGCACGCCTGCCACAGTAACCCACCAGGCCCCTCCCCACGCCCCCGCCATGCCTCTCCTCACCTCATCACAGCACCCGGGGGAGATCGAGTGGAGTGTGGAGAGATTGCTCGGGCAGCACTGCGCTGGGGGTATTGCAGAGTGGCCAATCCAAAGCAGCCAGCAGTTACAACACAGACCTGACACAATCCAGCAACTGAATGAAAAATGTGCAAGTGGCATAAAAAGCCCAAATCAGCCTGGAGATTGTGAGATTGGTTTAGAAAACAAGAGATCAGCTTGAAATTCTCTCAACTGGTTTCCCAAAACCATAAAAGCCCTGAATCAGCCTGGAGTGAACAGGAGCAGTTCAGAAATCCAAAGGCCGACTTTAAAAATCAAAAGATTTGCTTTAGAATCTCGGGATTGGCTGGACAACCACAAAACCTCTGTACTCACCACAACTGTGAGGTGGGTTTCCAGATGAAGAGAGTGGATTAAACGTTTGGTCCTGGTGTACACTAGGACCTTATTTTGAAATAACTGTCCCCATGGTCGAATTCCTAAGTGCTGTGCCCACACTAAGACCCCTGTTATTTTGAAATAACTGGCTGCGGAATTCAAACTCAGTACTTCTGGTTTTCATCAAGACTAACAGTAACTTGGAAATAGTAATTTCGAAATAACGGTACTGTGGATGCGCCGGTGCCACTGATTCAAACGCATTGGCCTCCAGGAGTACTCCCGCAGCTCCCCAGAGGGTTTCTTGGGAGTTAAGTCTGAGGCAGCCCGTCCCCATTAAAGCAGCCTGCCTCGGACTCATTTCGATGCTTCCCCGTGGTGAGGAGACGCGAGTTGGAATTTGTTAAATCAGAAGCTCCTTACGTCGAATTTCAAATTTCAAAATAGTTTCCGGTCTCAAAGACGGGTTTTAAAATGCCATGAGTAGCACACAGATCTCTTGCATTGGTGTGGGTGGGGGAAGTGGCTATACCAGCTCTGAAGTCCTAAAGTCTGAAATCTCACGGAAGCTTTATTGTGCGACCGAAGCAGAGCTACAGCGACCGAGCTGCGGAGCCGATAGTATAAATAAGGAGTTGGGGTTGGTCTTGCCTAGGGCAGGGGGCTGGACTTGATGACTCCTGAGGTCTCTTCCAGCTCTATGGTTCTATGATTCTATGAAAACCATCACACTCTAGTCCTGGGGTTCGGAGAAAGAAAACCGAAATTGAGCCACAGAGCATCAAAAACCAGCGAATAAACAAGCCCCAAAAGCTTTCATTTGTTTTTTAATCTTGTGACATTGAAAGCCAATCTCACAATTTTCAGGGGGCTCCTACTTGCCTTCTTTGAAATTGTGCATCAGAGAGTCTGTCTACGCTGCAGAGTTTTTCTGGAAAAACAACACTTGACGTCCAGATTGCGAGTGAATTCTTTTGACAGAAAGTTGAAAGAACGGAGGGTTTTTTCCAACGGTGGTTAACCTCAGTCTATGAGCTTTTTCGGGAAAAGGCGCGTGTGGATGCGGAAGAGAGCATTTTTTTAGAAAGAATAGGCCACCAGGAAAAAGCACCGGTGCCCTGGTCGCCCCTCTGTCCACAGTCATCACAACTGAAATACGAGAGCATCCTATCCCATTCATGCTTAAATTTGACACTTTACGAATGGGCCTTAACAAAGATGCTAATTACTTTACCCATTACAAATATAGCTTCCCCAATGATCACCCCTAGTATCATTATCTCATAGATACAAGCCTTCCCCCTCCCCCACGCCCTTCTGTTCTAAATCTGATTTGTCACCTTTATAATGTGTTCAATTTTTTTTCATGTTTTCCATTGTATCTCTTTGGTATATATGGTCATGCCAATTCTCTTCCAGAATCTGGCACTCGAAAGCTCATCACCTAATAAACTATCTTGTTAGTTTTTAAAGTGCTGCATAGTCCTGTCTTTTGTTTCAGCAAGATCAGACTAACACGGCTACATTTCTATTACAATCCATGTGGACGCTCTCTTTCGAAAGAAGTTTTTCTGGAAGATCTCTTCCAGAAAAGCTCATTCCAAAAGAAACCTCCAGTCTAGACTTAGCCAGAAATGCCAGCAGCAAGGGTGGGAAAAGCACAGACTGAACCCAAAAAAGAAACTGTGACACGAAAGAGATCGACAGGGAGGCAGCGTGTGCTCCTACAAGCCAGAGCTGGCTGGAAAATGAGGCTCCTGTTCCATGAGAAATTCACACATTATGGCTGAGTCTAGACTGGCATGATTTTGCGCCAATACTTTTAACAGAAAAGTTTTTCGTTAAAAGTATTTGTGCAAAAGAGCGTCTACACCGGCACGGATGCTTTTGCGCAAAATCATGCCAGTCTAGACACAGCCTTTGTGGGGCGGGGAGGGGAGGGGAAGAAAGGATCTCCATTGTGAATGGGAGTGAAAAGCTGACATCTTTAATCTCCAACAAAGTGAGAATGCTAAAAAAACATGGTTTTGCTCATGGTGAAACGTTGCAGTTCTACAGTAAAAGTATTTTATTCCTATAACCCTGCCCCCTTTGGCTTCATAAAATGTTTTGCAAAGGAGAAGAACCCATGCTTCAGGGCAGCCTTGGCATTTTGAATCATTAAGCTTTCATTTTGCTGTTACGTGAGGGCGTGAAACCTAGTCTAAGAGCGTAGGAAGAACTTTCCAACTCTAAGCTGCAGTGGGGGAGATCTAGGTTGGAAAAACGATTTCCCTAGGAGGATGGGGAAGCTCTGGGATGGGTTCCCTGGCAGCAGCAGGCAGGCATTGCTGGGTGTAGGCTTTCTTTGTAAATGTGGAGCATTAGGGAGCAAACGCACCTCTCCCCCATGCTCCCCCAAGTAAGCTGCCTGAGGTGATCTGGGGGCAGAGTGTTCCTGCCCCCCTTCCCGGACTCACCCTCCCGGTGCTCTGGGGCTGGAGAGACTGGGCCAGGCTGGGCAGTGCTGCACACCCTGACTCCTCCCTGCCCCGGTGCTCCAAGGCTGGGCTGGGGTTGGCTGGTCACGTGGCGTGGAGCACCTTCCACCGGGGCTGGGGAGGCTGCGGGGGGGCCGGCCC